GAAACGATGTACAAATGCGCTTTACACAATTGATGTGTGTATGGATTGGGATAACAGTTGTATGAGCCCCTAATAAAATGTTAAAAAAAAAAAAAATCTTCAGTAACAGTCTGCTCACAAGGATCACTATGTACCAGGGAAATCACTTTGAGAAAGCAGTGAGTCATTGTGCTCACAATAAAATAAGTTGCACCAACTGGGAGTTTAACAAAGAAAGGGAAACACAGCATGCCTCAAAGGGCATTCAGATGACTATCATTACAGCAACGCAGCCACAACTCAATTGGGCTCACATTGAAACCACACAGTGGGACTATACTACAATTCAAGGCTCCTTGACAGATTATTAAATACTTAATAATGCAAAGGAATAAATGATGAATAGGCGAATGCATATTAAATACATAGCCCAAGCAAATACATCATAGAAAAAAACCTGATGAACACGAGCAGATAGCTAATCTGAACTTTGATTCTTCCTAAATTCAGTACCAAGGAATCCATTTTCTTCTTGCCAGTGTATAACTGTACCTCAGTAAACCGGAATGAGATGGGATTACTAGCACAATCCAGTGCAGCTTTGTCACTGTATAGGAATCCAGGTGAGGCCAGTACTCTGGGAGGGTATTTATGTCTTCTATGCATGAAGAAGAGGGTGGAGATGATGCTTTGCTGTGTGTGAAGTCAAGGCACCCACCCAGAAGGATGGTCAAGAGAATTATTTACACACTGGTCCATTCAATTTTGCTTTGGCAAAGATAAAGTATAATATCCTCAATCAGGGGCGTGGGGGGGAATAAAAAAAAAAAAAAATATCCTCAATCAGTACATCTCAGTCACTATATATACATTCCAAGACAGAGTATCCAAATAGGTACAGGTTACTAAGTATTGTCAATGGAATCTTAACAGGAAGATCTGAAAGGACTACTGCTAACCTGCCTACAAATCAAATGCTCTCTAGGGCACCTGGGTTCACATCACGTGACTAAACAATGGTGTGAGTGCTGTGGCTGTCTGGCATCATGCAATTATGAAATTGCTGACTGTCCTGCAGAGTGCTCTATAGGAGCTCCCCTTTCCTCACAGAATTTCCTTTCCCTACTGTAGAACCTACGTAAGCCGGAAGAGAAAGAAAATGAATCTATATACTACTAGTTCGCACAACTTTTATTGCACGATCTGCTTAGTTATATAACACCAAAATGTAATCTCAACCTTGAATGACTTAAACAGTTCATGGAGAAATTCCATTATCTTTAACTGTATTATTCCATGAACTTTTTGAAGTCCCTGATATGACTTTTAAAAAGTCACACCATGTTAGTGCCCACGCCCACGCTAAGGTAACCATGACGGTAGCCATGTAATCTTGCTCAAATCAAGCGATAAGAAAGACTTCCTCAAGCTGAAGAGTGAGAGTGCAGGCACCAGGAACTGAATTACAAGAACAGCAAACCCCCTTTACCTTGGAGGCTCACTTTGAAATGAGGTAAGGCGTGCCAGCCAGCAGCCACGTCATCATTCTACATTCAGAAAACTACTAAAACACATTGACCCTAGAATGGAATAAAAAGAGGCTGCTGTGACCACAGGATTTCAGCTTCACTTCAACTTTCTTCAAATTTAAATAAGATTACTTTTGAGTTAATTATATGGAAGCATACAACTAAAGATTATACTTTTAATATGAAAATAAACAACCTCAAGTGGGAAATTAATTTATAAAGAGTTCCAGGTGGTTTAATGTTCTAATAAGCACACAGATACACAAGGCACTGTGCTGGGAGCTGGGAAGGGGAAAGAGATAAACACGTGCTATGACTATGATCCTGGTTTTGCCGAGACTGCCTCATATTCTCATTGGTCCCACTCTATTCCTGTTCACTGCAGCCAACATCAGTGGGCCTCATCTCACTGCCCTAAGTGTTGTTTTGAATGAGACATCACATTTTCATCCTATTTATATTTATGGTAAAGGTCATCTTAAAGGTCATCATAAGCTTTTACTACTACTACTATTTCCCAAGGCCATTCAAACTCAGCAGACAGTTTTCTGGTAGTTTCATGATTCTATAGACTGCCTTTCTTGAACTCTCTCTTGAATTGACCCCAAGAAATTCTGAACACGACTCTGGCCCGAGCTACAGTTTTGCCCATTCACTAACGCTTTTCATTTAAAAAGGCTGTTTTTAAAAAAATGAGGTCAATACTTCATAAAAGTTGTTTGAATCTTACCTCATTTGTATCCCTCAAATACAGCAGAAACAACACCCACTAATGTTGGGCAATCCTATAGGGCAGAGGAGACTGCTCCATAGTTTCCAAGGCTCTAAATCGTTATAGCAGGCTGTCTCGTTTCTGCCACGGAGCTATGGGTGGGCTCAGAGCAGACCTTTCAGTCCGCACCTCAACAGTCAACTACCTGTGTCAGGGTGGCTCCAACTAGAGCAGGCATCTATCATAAGGTTCAAATTTAGTTTTAAAACGTGTAATCAAACAGTATGCCAGGACTTCAAAAAGTTGGCAGAAAAATGGAATTAAAAGATAATCCATTTTGGGAGGGCAAATTTCTTGGAGCCCCTTTGGACTCTCCTCCTGAATCACAATCACACCAGGACATTACAAAAATGATGTGTGGAACTGAATATGATTACATAAGTAGCTTACAGGTATAATTCTCAACGAAGCTAAAGAAAATACAAATCAAGCGGTTACAGCTTGGGGAAGGGAAGGGGCTAAGAATAACTGAGTAACTGCTCCCCCATTACTAGCGTTTACAAAGGGCTCTGTCATACAGATACTTGGGCCAGAAGGTCTAGCTTTATCTTGGACTTTCCAAAAACGGAGCCGTGTCTTGATCATCCTATGCACTCGTTTGTTAGAGGGCTACAACACTTCTTCTATTATGAAACACAGAGGATGGGGAAAATCTGTAAAACTTTGATAATTATACAGAAATAGGTTAAGGAAACATATTCATATGTGTCAAAGGCAATATGAAACAGTGTTGTTATGAATTTGAGTTGCTCTTGGCTCAAGCAATTTACAGTTAATAAGGAAAAAAAGTAAATAAACTTTAACTGGAGCAATCTATGCAGTAGAGAAACAGGCAGGACCACCTCATTATGTTTTAGGAAGCCAGAGAAAGCACCAAGAAATGAATTAGTGTGGAAGTGAGTTGACAACTGAAATAAAAATTTGTGAGGACTATTAGGGTTCAGATCAAGGAGCAAAAGGGAACCGTGCATAGACATGGAGCAGAAGCTGCACTGTGCTGAGGGGCTTGAGAGAATGTTCTGGCTGAAACTGAGGTGTCTAGGAAACAGATGTCTAGGAAAGTGAGAGGACTGAGTTTAGCAAGGAACAGGTCAACTGCCAAAGGTCTCGCACACAAAATAAATGAGAGGGAAGAACTATCTAATCATTCAGAGAAAGCAAAGGACACATGACAATGCTGAAAGACTGTTCCAATGGCAAAGTAGATGTGAAGAGTTAAGATTAGAGAATATTTCCATAGCCCAGAACAACACAGTGAGTTCCAGAACAAGGGCCAGGTCACCCTGCACCTAAGGAAGAGACACATGTGAATGGCACCCAGTAGGCAGAAACCATGATGTCTGACTGAACGCTCCTTCTGCCCACAGGGGAAGATGAGGCCTTGAGTGTTTAGACAGGATGCAATGTGAAAATGGACACACGCTGGAAGACTGCCCGGTTTCTAGATCGAGCTGTTGCTTTCTACTTAAAAGTTATTTGATCTCCCTATATTCAGTTACCTCATCTATGAAACGGAAATGATAATAATAGTACTACCCTTAGAGGGCTATTATAAGAATGAAATGAGTTCACAATTATAAAGCATATAGAATAGTGCCTAGAACCTAGTGTCACGGAAGTGTTTGTAATTAAGTTACAGATGGAACACACTTTAAAATAAAGGAACTGATCACATAGGAGGAAAAACCAGAGACAGGAGAAAGAAAGAACACTGAATTTGGGCAAGATTCAGAAGAGCGGGGTGAGGTGCAGGACAATGAACAGATCAGTCAGC